TGGTGTTCCAAAGAGAACCCTTCCTTACTCTTTTAAAATGGAACAAAATGATCCACAATCAGCCTAACACAATAATATAACCTCAAAAGAAAAGATTTGTGAAAAGACCAAAATGCCCTTAAATTTCCGGACGGACTCCTTGCCAACTGCCCAACTTTCAAAGGGCATAACTCGCTCATACGAACTCGGAATCGAGCAAACTCGGTGGCTTTGGAAAGAACGTTCCAAGGGCTTTCCAAACATAACTGGAACTACTCCTGGATCATCCTGAGCTAGGAGTTATGACTGCTCAAAGTTGGCCAAAAACTCACTGATTTCCACACTTGGCAGAATTTCCAGATTTTGAACTTAGCCAATTTCCAGATTCTGAACTGTTTTCATTTTTTCCAAAAGTGACTACTTCCAATTTATGCTTAAACTTTAAAAATCCATACGTTAGGATCTAGTTTCACCTATCTATTTTTAGGGTCGCTACACCCGTGTGCTCTTCATCACCCCGAGAATAGATCAAGATGTCATCTATAAACACCACCACAAAAGAATCAAGGTAGGGTTTGAAAACCCTATTCATCAAATCCATAAAGAGAGCCGGAGCATTAGTCAACCCGAAAGACATCACCACAAACTCATAGTGCCCATACCTAGTACGAAAGGCCGTCTTGAGAATATCACACTCCCTCACCTTCACTTGATGATACCCTGACCGAAGATCAATCTTAGAGAAGTGACTAGCCCCATGCAATTGGTCAAATACATCGTCAATCCTTGGAAGAGGATACCTATTCCTGACGGTGACCCTATTAAGTTGTCGATAATCAATACACATTCTAAGAGACCCATCTTTCTTCTTCACAAACAAAACCGGAGCACCCCAGGGAGAATGACTAGGTCTAATAAACCTCTTCTCTCACAAATCTTTTAATTGCTCTTTCAACTCCGCCGGGGCCATACGGTAACGGGGGATAGACATGGGTTGAGTATCGGGAAGGAGTTCTATACCAAGATCTATCTCCCTTTCGGGAGAGACACCGGGAAGGTCTTTTGGGAAGACATCTAGAAACTCATTAACAACCGGAATAGACTCAATAGGAGGGACTTTAGACTCCACATCATTGACTCTCACAATATGGTTTCACATTCAACCATGAGAGGGCAACTTGAGCAATCAAAGCTTCACCACAGCGTCCCGGCTCTCCCACTCAAGGACGGGTTCATTAGGAAATCGGAACTTGACTTTACGAGTCCTACAATCAATAGAAGCATAATATGCATGCAACCAATCCATCCCAAGAATAACATCAAAATCCACCATGTTCAACTCAACAAGATCACAAGGCAACAACTTATTTAATATGCAAACCGGACAATTTCTATACACTTTTCTAGCAACAATAGAGACACCAATGGGAGTGGATACTTCATATGACTCATGCAACAATTCCGACTCGACATGAAATTTTCTAGCAACTAAGGGGGTAACAAAGGAAAGGGTGGCACCCGGATCAATCAAAGTATAAACATCAAGATCAAAGATTTGCAACATACCGGTCACCACATCCGGAGTCTCATTAACACCTTGTCTACCATGCAAAGCATAAAATCGATTGTCCCTCGGGGCACCACTTTGAGAAGTACCTCTACCCAAAGGAGTAGTGTTAGCACTTCGGACCTTGTTGCGGATCTTGGGACACTCAAACCTCTTATGACCCACTTCTCCACATTCAAAGCAAGCACCCGAACCCTTCATGCAAGGACCACCATGCTTCCTCCCACACTTAGGGCATACATCCATAGAACCCACTTCACCTCCCCCTTGAGGTCTAGGAACATTGATAGCAAATCCCCGGTTGACATGAGGGTTTCTTCGGCCTTGATGAAATCTAGCACCCTTAGGGAACCTATTCTCCAATCGGGCCCTCTTGGCCTCGTGCCCCCTTCTCTTCCTCAATTTCTCCTCCTCCATTTGCTCGGCATAAGTCATCAACCGAGACAAATCCATATCTCCAATGAGCATAGCGGACCGACACTCCTCGCTAACCAAGTTGGATACACCCATCACAAATTTGTTCATCCTCGACCTAGAGTCGGCCACCAAGTGAGGTGCATACTTGGAGAGTTGGACAAATTTGAGGGCATACTCCCTCACACTCATAGCTCCTTGCTTCAAGTTCATGAACTCCACCAACTTTGCCTCCCTAAGCTCAAGAGGGAAGAACCTATTAAGGAAAGCAAGTTTAAACTCCTCCCACAACACCACATAGCCATTACCTTTCTCACCCTTCCATTGATCAAACCAAATTTGAGCAACCCCCTTGAGTTGGTAGGCCGCCAATTCCGCCTTCTCACAAGCACCAACATCCATAATGGTCAAGATTTTGCATACCTCATCGATGAACTCTTGCGGGTCCTCATCCTCCTTTGAACCATGGAAGACCGGAGGGTTCATCCTCATGAAATCTCTCACCCTTTCCCCCGGGGTGGTAGTTCGAGGAGCTTGGGCTCCTTGTTGCACTTGGTTAGCTACCACTTGTGCAAGCATGGTGAGTGCATCACGGAGCTCACCATTGGTGGGTGGCTCTTCCGGTGATCGGGCCCGTCTTCCCCTCATGTTTGGCATGATGATCCAGCAATCCAAAGAACAAGCGTTAGAGAGGAATCACTTTATCGCACTCTAAGCACGACATAGAACATGAAGAAGGGAAACCTTTCCTAAAACGTTTGTAGCCTCCCATTCATAGTCGTGGCGCGCTTCACAACCATAATTAGGACTCTACTCAACACGGTGTGTTGGACTCCGAGGATTTAACAACCTAGTGCTCTGATACCAAGCTTGTCACGACCCAAGCCTAGGGCCTAGACGTGACATGGCGAATGAGGAACCCGAAGGAACCCCAAACAAGCCTCTCAAATTTGTCATCACACTTCATCGGTCGCGAAAGTACAATCAACATTAATTAACGGGAAATAGGGACTAAGGGCAAACCATTTCAAAATGACATCATAGAACAAGAGTCAAGCTCATTTACAAAATACTTGTCCAACGCACACCTCTACATACATAGATAGGACAGGGGCCATGACATACTACCGGCTCCCCTCATAGTCAAAATACAATTGCAAGCTAAAGTCTCAAAACATAGGAGTAGGAAACATAACATAGCCCTCGAATCATTGAGGACTCACCAATAAACTCGGATAAGCACCGTACTAGCCACGTGAATGGAGAGAAGGATCAAGAGTAGCTCTGGTCCATACATGGTGACATCATGTAGGCAAAATATGCATTAGTACTTGGAATGTACTAAGTATGCGGGGTGCAACACAACAATAGACAAGGACACAATCGAAATACAAGAAATAGTTTCATAGGCATTATGAATACCAATATGAGGATGCATGATCAAAGTGAAGTCAAAACATATTTAAGTAAATCTATACTAATAGTAGATATCATATGTGTATGCATGATCCAACCAATCTATAACCCCAACTTAGGATGGGGGATGCCGTTCACACCCGGACACCCTGGTGGCAAGGTATAAACCTCTCACATGGTTGATGTTGGTCACACCCCAAGCATCCTAGGTGGTGAGATATAAACCTCTCACATGGTTGATGTTGGTCACACCCCAAGCATCCTAGGTGGTGAGATATAAACCTCTCACATGGTTGATGTTGGTCACACCCCAAGCATCCTAGGTGGTGAGATATAAACCTCTCACATGGTTGTCCGGTTCTTTTCCCCCGGACCGGGCATGGTCATGCAACACTTTATATAGGAAATTCTCATTAGGCTCTAATGCAATCTCACGTATGGAATGAACATATACAAAAGCTTAGTTTGTCATCAACACATCTTTGGATTTCCATACATCTCATAACTCAAGCTTTAAAGCATCGATTCATCAATTCTCCATAGTTGGACATTTTGTCAAACACCTTGAAGGCATGTAATGGAATCAAAGAGCATGAAAAATAGAGTAGTAATTATGCGGCCAAACCAGTGAACAACCTACAACAACACCTTTTTAACACCCACAATACCACATGAAAATCTCCACATCCATTCCAAATTTAGGTTCAAGTTCTAAAGTCACAACATGCTCAAAACACTCACTTTTCATGTTTAAAATTCAATGTTCAGGAAATTATTACAAAGAACAAGACTAATTTATGAATCTTAACTTAAACCATGAATTAGTGAGTAGAATAGAGTCTAGGCACTATGGGTGGAAGGACCCATGAGTTCAACACCACATACCTTGTTCTTATGAAGGTCTTGAGAGTGTCTTCAATGGAAGCTTGGAACTTGGAGCAAGAGTCTCTTCAATCTTGAGGAAGGTTTTGGATTAGGGTTCTTGAGAGAACTTGAGAGAAAATGTGTCTAAGTATGGGAGAGGTGTTTTGGGAAATATTTTAGAGATGGGAATTGAACTAATGGTATATAGGAAATAACATATGCCCTTTGGAAAAATGGTCCAACACTTAGAAAAAAATATGGGGTGGGTGAACAGTAAAAACGCTCATTGGAAATTGTCTTTCCTGCCGGACAGATTTTTACGAAAATGGGCATAACTTCTTCGTCCGAACTCCGAATGAGGTGAAACAAAGTGAGTTAGGTAGATAACTCAAAGGGATTTCCATGGATATGTTATTGGCCACCCAATAATTTATGTGCTAGGAGATATGACCTTCCAAAGTAAACCCTCGAAAAAGGCTTCACTTGGAAATTTTGGATTTTGATACGGTTGCTCTAAAATTTGGGTTAGACCCATTTTCCACTCAATTTGACCCCCTAAACAAGAATATGAAGTCGGATTTTTGAAAAATGAAATGGATTTTTTTGATATAGCTAAACAAGTTTCCGGTAACTTCCGAAGCACATTTTAAAGAATTTTTTGGGTCATTTCACATATGATAGGGTCTTTTGGTCTTATATTTGTCTGGTACTCAGAAGAATGGGTTTTTAGGAAGTGTTCATTGACATGGTATGGAGGATCATGGCTAAAAATTGGTACTCCATCATAGTTAATGGAAAGAGGCATGGTTTTTTTCACTCTACTAGGGGCCTGAAGCAAGGTGTTACACCTTTCCCTGCCCTATTTATTTTGGGGGCAAAGGTTCTTTCAAGGTCCCTTAACAGGTTACACAACAACCCTGAATTCCATGGTTTCTTTATGGAGATAAGATGGCCTCAAGTCAATTATCTCAGCTTTGCAGATGATATAATTATTTTCACTTTAGGAAGGAAAAAGTTTCTCAAGCTCATTATGCACAGTTTGAAGACTTATGAAGAGACTTCTGGCCAACTTGTAAACAAGGACAAAAGCCATTTCATGATTCATTCTAATGCATTCAACATCACAAGGGATACGATTAAAAGGACTACTGGCTTCAAGCAGAAGGAAGGGCCTATTACCTACCTAGGCTATCCTTTTTTTATTGGTAGGCCAAGGATTATCTACTTCTCTGATCTCATTGGCAAAGTAATTAACAAAATCTCTGGTTGGCAGGCGAAACTTTTGAATTATGGAGGAAGACTTACTCTTGTTAAGCATGTGCTCCAATCCATGCCCATTCACTTACTGGCTGCTATCTCTCCCCCTGTAACCATTATCAAGGAAATCCAAAGCCTTATGGCTTACTTTTTCTGGGGTTGGAGGAATGATAGGAAAAAATACCATTGGTCATCTTGGAATAATTTAAGTTTTCCCTATGATGAAGGAGGAATTGGTGTGAGAAACTTGAAAGATGTATGCATTGCATTCCAATACAAGCAACGGTGGGTATTTAGATATAAGCACACCCTTTGGGGTGATTTTCTAAAAGCTAAATATTGCGAGAGGTCTAATCCTATCAGTAGGAAAAAGGGCCCCTGTGATTCCTCAACTTGGAGACACATGACACAGAACAAGCATAAGGTTGAGGAGCACATTCACTGGAAAATTAATTCTGGAAATGCCCCTTTTGGTGGGATAATTGGCTAGGAGTGGGACCTCTAGCTAATTTATCTAATGAGAGCAATAGGTTCAACAATTACACTATGGCAGGATTCTGGGTTGATGGACAATGGAATATAGATATGATAACTCAGCAAGCCCCTCATTGTCAAGTAGCTAACATTTTAGCTACACAACTTCACATTCAACAAGAGGTCCCTGATCAGGCTATATGGAAATTAAACACTGATGGAATGTTCACTGTCTCATTAGCTTAGAATGAAATCAGGGAAAAAAGAACCAAGACTCACTTCAACTCCTTCAACTGGCACAGAAGCATTCCCTTCCAGTGGTCTTTTTTATTGTAGAGAATTCTTAGAGGCAAAATTCCAACCAATGAAAGAACTGTCAGATTTGGTAGTAAACCTACTGCCTGTTTTTGTTGCAACACACCTGGTTGGGATACCATAGAGCACACCTTTAATAGTGGACAGTTTCCAGCTTATGTGTGGAAATATTTTGCTGATACTACTAGAATTAGTACTGAACATACCCCACTTCCTTATTTAATAAGAAGATGGTGGTTTACTAAGTACAAAAATGAAGCTCACAAGCTGTTCCTTCAAGCTACTCCAATCTTTATTTGTTGGAACCTATGGAAAAATAGGTGTGACAGGAAGTATGGGGGCAAGCAGTCCAATATGCCTAGAGTCATGTATGCTACTTACAAAGACAATTACAAGCTCATGACCTCTTTATACTTACACATCAAATGGCCCTCTAACTGGAAAGATCTGATTCAAATAGTGAAGAGATGTTGTCATGAAACCAAGGTGACTACTGTACAATGGAAGAAACCTCCTGATCAGTGGGTAAAACTCAACATTGATGGTAGTGCATTGAGTAACCCAGGCGAAGTAGGTGCAGATGGTATCCTAAGAGATCAAAATGGAGAAATGATCCTAGACTTTGCTACTCCCTTAGGGGAGGGCACTAATAACCAAGCTGAAATAGAAGCTTCTATATTTGGCTTAACATGGGCACTACAACTAGGATACAAGAATGTTATACTGGAAGTAGATTCTCAGTTTCTGGTAGACTGGATCAAGCTAAAAGCCAAGCCACCTTAGAGTATTAGCTCAAAGGTTCAACAACTTCAAGAACTCATCAGGCAGACAGATCACTACAGATGCAAACATACCTTCAGAAAAGCCAATTTTGTTACTGATTCCCTTTCAAAACATAGCCATACAATTACAAGTCCACAACTTTACTTCAATGAACAACAATTACTAAAGGAAACAAGAGCATATCATCAGCTGGAGCTAATAGAGATGGCAAATTTCAGAAGAAGGAAGATTAAGAGAATAAAAGAACCCCCTGATAGCTTCCTGGTACTTAGTAATTAGTTAGGTTTTTACCTTTTCTTTTACTTGTAAAGGGAGAGTCTCCCTTATTTATGCTTCCTAGAATATCTGTATTGAGAGGAGTCCTCTATGTAGGTACATAGAAGCTAGGTAGCATCTTTCTTGTACGGGGATAAGTTGACCATCCTTAGTAGGAAGGTCGATTTATGACCATCATAGGCTTGGAGGTAAGGTTTATGTCCCCATCTGTGTATTTCGCTTTTGCTTATCTATGATAAGGCCTAGGGGTGTTGCTAAGCCCCTGACCCCCTCAAGGGTCGTTAAAAAAAATAAAAAAATAAGGGAGTTTTGTAAATAAAATGACAGATTGTTGATTTGAATAATTACGTAACAAGTAAACAAGATTCACAATTTGAGATATCAATATAAGATGGAAACTAGAGTATATGTGTTCCCCACAAGCTCTTAACGTAGTATTCCTAATAATAGTAATAATATTCTAGTGTTTGACATGCAAGGCTGATAAGTTAAGTATACCTAAGTGATTGGTAATCCAAGTAGGAACTTTCACTCGCAACTTGGTAAGTCTATAGAAGTGTGCTTTACTAACCCTTACCTTTACCCCTGATTAGTCATCGTGTCAATTGAGTTGGGTACTCACCCTCACGTCAACTGATGAAAGTCAGACTATTAGATAGCAGCAAATCCTTAACTAAATCTCTATTGTTTAATCTTTATCTCATTCATTACCCCCTTAGTAATGCAAGTATGAACGAGGGGAGTTCTTACGTTATGCACCACTATAAAGACTTTTAAACGAAAAGATTAGCAATGCATGCATAAACACTATTCAAGAATTACTTAGTTATTAGTCATACATTGTAAATTCCTCATGGTTCCTAAAACCCTAGTTGTGGATTCAGCTACTCATGCTTGAGAATTCACAATTCATATTAGGGTTAAAAGAAATCATAAACTTACAATTAGAATAGATGAAAACCAAAATGTTGAATTGAAATTCAAAGTGCCAAATTGCATAAACCAACTTTCGGAATTAAATTGATAATTGTTTTCAAAATAATTCCAAAAGAACAAAACAAAAGTATCCAATATTGTCTAATCCCAAAAATGGAAGTAACATCTAATATTTATAGTATTTAAATCCTAAACCAAATAGGAAACAAAAATAAGGAAAAATAGTTCAAGACGCAGTTTTGACTGACGACAGGACCTACGGACCGTCGGTCGACCTATATTTCGTAGGTCACCTTCGTCGTTCAAGTACTGGAACTCAACCTTTCTAATCATAAACGACGGATGTGCAGGACGATATGCCATTCGACCTACGATCCGTCTGTGGCCTCTGTGGTTCCACACTTGGTCAGACTTCCCTGAACTTCACCTACACTGCATCACCTACAGGTCGCCGTTGACCTATGGTCTGTCGTTGGCTTCGTCAATTGTTACTGCTGCCCTTTCAATCCAATTTTCTATCAACCGCTTCCGAACTAATTTCCTGCAAAACATCACATAAACACATTATATCCAATAACAAAATAGCTCAAGACACACAAACTCTAAGTGAAAGACATCAAAAATACCGTAAACTCACGGTATATCAATTGTTAAGGATGTTTTAGATTTTATGAAAAGTTAAAGAAACATTCAATATAATAGATGATTTAAGGATTAGATAGAAAAATTAATTTGAATTTTATTTAAACTGTGATCTTCAAAGTACAACATATTAGTATCGGAATAAAATTGAACTGAATTGAGTCAACGTATACTGTGTATTCATATAGATATACCCAAATAATGAAAGGATGAAATGAGGGGGAACAGAGTGAAATTAGGGCTTTAAGTCGTCTATGTGGAGGTGGGGTGTGTTTGCCGTGCACATGTGGAGTCCATGTGGAATTTTAGCACACACATGGATGATTTTGTTAAACAGAAGGGTAAATGTGGTCCAATAGTTAGACGAGAAGGGTATTTTTAACCAAAATACAGTTTAAGGGTATATATAAGCTATTTCGAATAGTTTAAGGGTAGTTTTGACCCTTTTCCGTTTAATAAATACTAGTCAATTAATTAACTATAGTTAAACGAATAGTTCAAAATTCTCAAACCAACTTCACAAACTAATAAAAAATGACTAGGGAAACTATAGATAGAGGTAAAATGAAAATTTCCAAAAATGATATTTCGGGTCGTTACATTATCCACCACTAAAAATCATTTTCGTCCTCGAACATAAAGAAGAAGAAAGAAGGAAAACTGACATTACCAAAAGCCTGAGGTATAATTTCCAGAGTCAATGTCTATCTCTCCAAGTGAGCACATCCTTAAGACCATTCCATCAAGAGCAACGACTAAGAACTGAACTTTCGAATCAAAATTTCACATATCCATAAATCAGGAGTGATTACCAAATTATAGACTAACCCATGAACCCAATCTGAATCGAAACCCTTTGGACCATAAGAAAACCACTAGGACGAATGTTTTCTCACATAACTAAGATAACATTCCGAATAATACCGGCAACAACCATAAGTGAATTTAAACTAATCACCACACACTTGTAATTCATCATCTAACATAGATCTTATCAAGCGTTCATTCTCACAACATATTCTTTCAACAAACTTAAGTTATAAAAATAAGATCTTTAGACATCACGTAATAATCAAGAAGGATCAAACTCATCTTGTCACGACCCAAGCCTAGGGCCTAGACGTGACCGGCGAATGGGGAACCCGAAGGAACCCCAAACAAGCCTCATAGAGTATCATTACACATCCTTGGTCGCGAAAGCAATTAAAATGACCATAAGCGATAAGCATAATCAAGGGGAAATCGGGACTAAGGGAGCAAGAAAGAAAAAGGGAATGATACATAAATACCATAGATGAGTCAAGCTCAAGCATAATACACAACTTGTCCAACACCACCTCTAAACATGGGTACTTAGCGGGGGCCAAGACAAACTACCGGGCTCACCCTCATAGTCAATACATAACAAAAAGGGAAAAGTCTTATACATAGCAAGAGATCATAAGCAACGTCCTCGGAATGGAGGACTCACCAATAACCTCGATAGAAAATCGTATTAGCCACGCGGAGGAGGATGGTCAAGCGGTGCTCCGGTCCCTACATAGTGACATCATGTAGGCATAGAGTATGCATTAGTACGTTTGAATGTACTAAGTATATGGGATGAAATGCAATGCAACAATAGATGGACATCATAGGCAAAATGCATAATCATACCCGATAGATAGCATATTAATGAAATGATATGTATAATGATGCTTACATAAAATTCATATTTAGTGGGGCGTAGTACATGTGTGGCGAGTGACCATCAATATAGTATTTCCAAGGCCTACCACCTCCTTGGAGAGGCGAAAGAGGTACAAACCCCTCAATGTGGTTACCCGGGCCTACCACCCCCCGAGCTAGGGACCAAGGTACAAACCCCTCGATATGGTTATACAGGCCTACTACCCCCCGTACTAGGCAACCAAGGTACCAATCCCTCGATACGGTTACCCGGGCCTACAACCCCCCGAGCTAGGCTTGGTCGACTCACAACACTTATATAGAGAAAATCATATACATGTGTCCATTTCATCACCATTTCAGTAATTATATAACCATCCGACTCATAGGACGTAC